CAGACTCCTCACTGGCTTGTCTCCAGTGATCTGGCTTAATTGGCTGCTTCTACCACTACCTCCACCACTAGAACTTTCCAAGGCTGTAAATCTCAACAGAAGCACAATGCCATGGCTTTCTCCTGCTGAAAGGTTCAAACCACTTTGGAGCACTTCACCACTGCACCACTATGGTCCCTCAAATCCCTAATAACCATCAATGTATATTCAAATTTTCCTGATTATTTCATTATACTTTTTTAAAAAAACTGGTTTTTCAAATCAGAGGTTAAACAAGAGCCAAACAATTAGCATTTGGTTAATTAGTCTCTTAAGTTTCTTTTATTCTCCTCTATTTTTCATGCCATTAATTATTTGAAAAAAACTAGTCTTTTAACATTTGCAATTTTCCCAAATTTTATATTTAGTTGATTGCCTGCCTCCGCATGCTGTCATTTGCAAGCTTCCTCTTATCCTTTTCTTCCCAGTAAACTGCTAGTTAGACCTTACAGTTTGGCTACTTCCACAGTTCATTTTTTAATTGCCAAGAACACGTCCTCAATTTCTTACTGCTGCTTGTCTGTTGTTGCTTGATGGAATGTTTGTCAGATCTCCCGGGGAGGTACTCACTCGAGTTGCCTGGTGGTGGTGTTCTGTTTCCTAAATTATCTTGGGTTCCTTTGAGGTCAATCTCTTTTCCACATTTTGGACCTTTTCATGATTTGGTTTTCCAGAAATATGTGAGGATCCTTGGGAAAGTCAGTCCCGAAGTTCACTTTAACCAGAATTGGGACTGTTTGGGTCTAACTCTTGGCTGTAATAATTCCTTTCTTTCATTGAATGGATTTAGCATCCTTGTAAAAAATCAATTGACCACAGATATGTGGGTTTATTTCTGGGTTCAATGCTATTCCATTGGCCTGTATGTTTATTGTTATACTAGAACCAAGCTGTGGCCGTTGTTGTTACATGCCGTCAAATTGGTTCTGACTCTTAGTGATCTTATGCACAACTGGAAGAAACACTGCCATCCTCACAAATGTTGTCACACTTGAGCCCGTTGCTGCTGCCACTGTGCTAATCTGTCTCCTTGGAGGTCTTCCTCTTCTTTTACTGACCCCCCCCACTTTGCTAAGCATGAAGTCTTTCTCCAGGAACTGCTCCTTCCTGATAACATGTCTGAATTATGAGAGCATTCTGCCTGTACTTCTTCCAACACAGGTTTCTTTGGTCTTCTGGTATTTCATGGTACTTTCAGTATTCTCCAGTTCCAGCTTCTAAGGAGCATTTTGGCTGTACTTCTTCCAGCACAGATTTATTTGGTCTTCTGGCAGTCCATGGTACTTTCATTATTATTCTCCAACACCATAACTCAATTGCAGCAATTCTTTTATGGTCTTCCATATTCGTTGTCCAACTTTTACATGCATATGAGGCTATGAAAATACCATGGCTTGGATCAGGTATACCTTAATCTTCAAACTAATATCTTTTCCTCTTGAACACTTTGAAGAGGTCTTGTGCAGCACATTTACCTAATGCAATACATTGTTTGATTTCTTGGCTGCTGCCTCCATGCGGCTTGATTAAGGATCTAAAGCAAAATGAAGTCTTAACAACTTCAATTTTTACTCCATTCACATGGAAATACAATCCATAATGTAGTCATTGATCTTCAATCAGTATTTTGAATCCTCTTTGCTTGGAGCGAGCAAGGTTGTATTATGTGCATATCACAGGTTGTTAATGAGTTTGAGCATTTCTATAGCTATTTGGGACCTCTAGCCATCCATCTAAAGTTGAGAATTGGGTTTTCTTTTGCTGTAAAGAAGGCTGTTAGAATTTTGATCGGGATTGTATTGAATCTATAAATTACTTTGCGTAGCATGGTTACTTGTATTATAATCCATGAACATAAACCATCTTTCCATTTAGTTGAGCCTTTTTAAATCTCTTTCAGAAGTGTTTTTACAGTTTTCATTGTATAAGTCCTTGCAGCTCCTAGGTATTTTATTCTTTTAGAAGCTATTGTAAATGGCATTATTTCCCTAATTTCCCTTTCCAATTTCTCATTGCTGCTGTAGAGAAAAACCCAACTGAGTTTTGTTGTCTATGTACCTGTAACTTTGCCAAATTTCTCTACTAGCTCTAAAAGTTTTCTTGTTAACTCTTCACTGTTTTCTATATATAGGGTCATGTCATCCATGAAAAGAGACAATTTTACTTATTTTTTTCTAGTCTGGGTACGTTTTATTTCTTTTTCTTGTCTTACTATTATGCTAGGACTTCTAATACAATATTGAATAGAAGTGTTGAATGGAAGTGGTAAGAGCGGGCAACCTTGTCTTTCTCCTCATTTCAAGGGGAAAGCTTAGTCTTTCTCCATTAAGTATAATGTTGGCTGTTGGCTTTCACATATACCCTGAGTCACATTGAGGAATTTCTATTCTATTCCAGTCTTCTTTAGGGTTTTCATCAAGAAAGGATGTAGGATTTTATCAAATGCTTTTCCTGTATCCATGGAAATTATCATGTGATTCTTTTCCTTTGTTTATGTGATTTGGTGTATTGTGTTGATTGATTTTCTAATGTTGAATCATCTCAACACTCCTGGAATAAATTCTGAGTCATGTTGTCTGCCTCTTTTAATATACTGTTGGATTCTGTTTGCTAGTATTTTATTGAGGATTTTTATATAATAACAGATATTGTTGTTGTTAAGTTCTGTGAAATCAGTTCTGACTGTATAGGGCTTCTGAGGAGCAGCTGGTGAGCTTGAACCACCAACCTTGCAGCGCAAATGACTTTGCTGTCCAGCGCATTAACCCACAGTGCCATCCCAGGAGATAATTGGCTTGTCATTTTCTTTTCTAGTGCTGTCTTTATCTGATTTGGTTATCAGGATTATGCTTGTATCATAAAATCCTCTATCTTCTGGAATAATTTGAGTAGAATTGGTGACAGCTCTTCTCTGAATGTTTGGTTAAATTCACCAGTGAAGGCATCTGACCCAGGACTTTTTGTTTATTGTTGAGAGGTTTTTGGTCCTTGATTTGATCTCTTCACTTGTCATGGGTCTGTTGAGACTTTTTATTTCCTCTTGAGTCAGTTTTGGTAGGCTGTGTGCATCTAAGAATTTGTCCATTTCAGCTGAGTAATCAGTTTGTGGCTGCAGAGTTGTTCATAATGTCCTCTCATAATTCTCTTTATTTCTGTCGGGTTCATTGTAATATCCCCGCTTCCAAATTTTATTTTGGCTATTTGTATCTTTTTCTTTAGTCTAACTAAAAGTTTGTCCGTTTCTGATTATACTGAGTCTCTTTATTGTTTTTCTGTCTCCAGTTTTATTTACTTGTATTCTGGTCTTTGTTACTTCCTTTTTGACTGGTATATTTAAACTTAATTTGCTCTTTCCTTTCTAGTTCCTGGAGTTGTCGAGTGAGGCTGTTGATTTTAGATCGTTCTTTTTTCTCATAGGCATTTAGTGCTATAACTTTTCCTCTGAGTATTGCCTTTACTGTATCCCATAAGTTTTGATATGTTGCCCTATCATTTCATTTGACTATAGGAAATTTGTGATTTCTCTTTTGATTTTTTCCTTGACCCATTGATACTTTAATGGTGTGGTGTTTCATTTCCATGTTTGTGTTGTTTCCAGATACTTTGTATGATTTCAGTCTTTTAAAATTTATTAAGATTTGTTTTATGACCTAACAGTGTCTGTTGGAGAATTTTTGTGTGCATTAGAGTAGAATGTATATTGTTTTTGATTGGAATATTTCCTGTAGGCATGTTAAGTCTAGTTGGTTTGTTGTTGTTGTTGTTAAGTGCTGTCGAATCGATTCCGACCCATCGTGACCCTGTATAGGGTTTCCAAGGAGCAGTTGGTAAGCTTGAACCACCGACTTTGCAGTTCAAATGACTTTGCAGTCTGACGCATTAGCCCACAACGCCATACCAGTTGGTTTGTAGTGTTATTCAAATCCTGTTTCCTTGCTGATCTTTTTAGATGTTCTGTTCAATATCAAAAGTGGTATACTTAAGTCTACAGCTATTCCTGCAGTACTGTCTTCCTATAATTCTTTTTTTTTTTTGCTTTATGCATTTAGGTACCCCAGTGTTGGGTACGGACTCCTGCTTGGTGCTGTAGGATCAGCACTGGGCTGCAAACCACAAGGTCAGAGGTTCAAAACCACCAGCTGCTTCTTGGAAACCTTATACAGGGGTTATTATCAGTCAGGACTGACTTATCAGCACTAAACAACAACACCAACAATGTCGAATGCAGATATGAAGGAGCTTCAAAAAGCTTTTGAGAGAATAGAATGAAAAGATAGTGGAACTTTTCCAGGAGCTTTTTGAATCCCCCTAACATGTTTATGGAGTCCTGGTGTGGCGCTGTGGGTTAATGCGCTGGACTGCAAAGTCGTTTGAACTGCAAGGACGGTGGTTCAAGCTCACCACCTGCTCCTTGCAAACCCTACACAGGGTCACTATGGGTCGGAACTGACTTTCATGTCACTTAACAACAACAACAAAAGTATGTTTATGATTATTGCCCCTTTAAACACTATATAATGTCCTTTAACTCTTCTGACAAATTTTGTCTTGTAGTATACTTTGTCTAATATTAAGATTGCCACCCAAGCTCTTTTTTGGTTATTATTTGCATGGAATAATCTTTTCTATCCTATTATTTTCAATCTATTTGTGTCCTTGGCTTCAAGGTGTGTCTCTTGCTACAGCATATAGTTGATTCATGTGTTTTTAGTCATTCTGCCACTCTCTGCCTTTTGATTGGAGCATTTAGTCCATTTACATGGCTTGGTTTGGTTTTGGGAGAGACAATGAAGGGACTGAGCATTGCGTTCTAATAAACAGAGAAGCACAAGGATGTGGCCCCTGTCCCAGATTAGGGTTAGGATATGTGTACATATACTCACATGTGTATGTCTAGAGCCGGTGGCTGAGCTTGGACCTGTGACCCAACCCCTTGCCCCTGTCCTTCCTTGTCCCCTTAGGCTGTGGGTGAGCGTGGAGGATGCTCAGATGCACACCATCACCATCTGGCTCATAGTACGCTCTGACATGACAGTGGCTTCCCTCAAGGACATGGTGAGTGAGGGCGCCCTCAGTCGGAGGCTCCACCTCTCTGCACTCTGGTCTTCCCTTCCCACCCAGCATCCTCTCTTATACCCCTGCTGCCAGGTATTCCTGGACTATGGCTTCCCTCCAGTCCTGCAGAGGTGGGTGATTGGGCAGCGCTTGACGAGAGACCAGGAAACCTTGCACTCCCATGGGGTGCGGCGAAATGGGGACAGTGCCTACCTGTATCTGCTGTCAGCCTGCAGCACCTCACTCAGTCGCCAGGAGCTGCAGCGAGAGCGACAGTTACGGATGCTGGAAGGTGAGGCCCCTGAGTAGCACAGGACCCCTCTGAGATCATAGGGCAGGAGGGGCCAGAGCCCGCCTGCTCTAAGTGAGGGCCTCATGGTGGGGGAAGGGGACATATGACACCCTAGGAGGGAGTCATTTCAAGAAGAGCCGGCATGGGGAAGAGATCAATCTTTCTATCTTGGCTCTGGTATTTATCAAGGAAACCAGGTGACACCATGGGTTAAACATTTGGCTGCTAACTGAAAAGTCAGCAGTTCAAATCCAGCAGCTGTTCTAGTCTGCTTCCGTAAAGATTCACAGCCTTGGGAACCCTATGGAGCAGGTCACATGGTCCTGTAGGGTCACTAGGCGTAGGAATCAACTCATGGTAGTGGTGGGTAACCTGGGACAATTCGTTTCTGTTTTGTGCCTCAGGTTTCTTTTTCTTTGTTTTAACTTGTGAATGGAGTGAAGGTTAACAGACAAGATCATCATCGTTACTTTAAACCAATCATATTATGTTTCATCTAAATGATGACAGTCCCCTCCCTACAACACGTGCTATCCTGCTTCCTCCTTGTGGTTTCCCTGTTACATCTTATTTTTCACAAATGAACAAAGCAAAATTATTTAATGTACACATAGAAAACAACAAAAAAAGGTTTTTGTTTAAATGTCCAAAGGGCACGTTTTACAATCGAGCCTCCTGCCTATAGGCACACAGCCTTTCTCAGTCCATGGGCCTAGCATCCTCAGACGCTCTGTCTCTCCTTGCCATCAGGCCTCAGGTTTCTAACCTAAAAATTGAGTATGATGAAAATAGCAGTGTTTAATTGTATTTTTAATATTTTAGACTTACAGAGGAGTTGCAAAATTGTACAGAGAATTTCCATGTATCCTTCATCCAGCGTCCCCAAATAGTAACTTTTTCATGCTTGCTTTATCCTCTTTTTATATATAATATTTTGATGCTAAGTTATATACATGAGGTCCTTCCCTCCTAAATATTATATAGCATGTATTAAACCCAAAAAAGGTTTAATTCAAGAAGTGAACATTGGTATGAGTCTACAGAGTTTATTCCAGTTTTACATCTTGTCTCACAAATGCCCTTTACTGCCAAGACTTGACGGTGACCTCTCCAGGCTCTTTCCACCTTTGGTTTCCCCCAGATGTGCCTTGACTTTATGGCTTTAGCTCTTTGATGCATTGTAGCTTTGTAGAGTGTCCCACAGTTTGGGATGTGATGTTTCCTCAGGAGTGGATTCAGATTCGAAGTTTTTGACAAGAATGCCTCAGCCTCAGACGTGCCACTGCCCCTCTAGGTGTGTCACTTCCTGTTGGCACAGGAGGCCAGCTTTGGGCAGAATTTTTAAGCCCAAAGGGACACAGGAGCATTCAGAGATGGAGCAGAGGTCATGACCTTGGGAGCCCACCTGGCAGGATGGAGCTAGAGACTCCTTCAGAGAGGGGAAATGGTGGAAAGGTGTGTGTGTGTGAGGGGTGTGGAGCTCTGCCATGTGGGCCATGGGAACCTTCCACCTTCTGAACTCTTCTCTGCAGACCTGGGCTTCAAGGACCTCACACTGCAGCCAAGGGGCCCCCTGGAGGCAGCTGTCCCCAAGCCTGGGGCGCCCCTGGAGTCCAGGCAGGGGCAGCTGGAAGCCACACCTGAGACCCCTCAGGTAAACCCCCTCCTTGAGTGTGCCCCCTTCACCCTCCCATGGGGCTCCACCACCTCATAGCTGCTCTGCCCCCAGGTGGGCTGGCAGTGCCCTGGATGCACCTTCATCAACAAACCCACGCGTCCTGGCTGTGAGATGTGCTGCCAGTCTCGGCCGGAGGCCTACCAGGTCCCTGCCTCCTACCAACCAGACGAGGAGGAGCGAGCACGCCTGGCTGGCGAGGAGGAGGCGCTGCGCCAGTACCAGCAGGTGGGTCAAGGACAGACGCCTGGAGGCTGGGCTGGGGAGACGTAGGCCAGGAAGGGAGATACCATGTGCTGTGACTTCTCATGACCACACCCCTGATGTGATCCTACACTGACTGATGCCCCCCAGCACACATCCAGGGTTCACATGCCCTGACTCCTTGTGGGCTGTGGATGCACTGGGCTTTGAAATACGTACTGATTTTGCTTATAACTGTTGTTGGCTTTGACCCTGGCCTTGATCCTATGCCTACACCGAGGACCCATACCCCCTACCCCACCATACAACTGTGACCTAGTTCCTGCACCATCCAGCTGTCACCACACTCTTTACCCAGTGACCCCGACCCCTTCTTTCATGACTTCCTGGGGGGTTGACCCCACTTTCTGTCCTGCCCCAAATCATGACACACCAATTATGTGACACACACACATACACAAGTTCTAGAGCCAAGTGTTCCCCCACACTAATCTCTTGTACCTCACCCCCTCCCCGCATTTCCCTTGAATTCAGCTCAGTCCCGTCCCACTCTGGCCATGACCCCCATTCCCGCCCCCATCTACAACTTCAGCCCTCACCCTCTCTTCTTCCCTGCCTAGCTTCTCAGTTGACACCCCCACTTCACATCTCAGATGTTTTGTCATTTTGACCCCTTCTGGCCACCCCTGGCCTACCCACCACCCAGGGATCCTGAGTCTCCCCTAGCTTTCTTTGTTCCACTGCTTGGTCTGACCACATCCCTAGTGCTGCCCCCGGGTCTGACCCTCCCCACGGCCCACCCCATGTCCCCAGCGGAAGCAGCAGCAACAGGAGGGGAACTACCTGCAGCATGTCCAGCTGGATCAGAGGAGCCTGGTGCTGAACGCCGAGCCCACCGAGTGCCCCGTGTGCTACTCAGCACTGGCGCCCGGCGAGGCCGTGGTGCTACGGGAGTGTCTGCACGCCTTCTGCAGGTGCGGCCCCCAGCCCCACCCCCAGAACTGCAGCACTGCCCTTTACGGAGGGCGCCTACCCCTTCAGACACCTGTGAGGGATGTGAGGGCCTTGAAAAGCCTTGAGCAACTTGCTCAAGGCCACACAAGAACAAGGCCAGATAGAACCCTCTCTGAGCCTCATGGTCTTTCCATCCCAAGTAGTAGCCTCGCTTCCAGCAACAGCTAAGCACTGGGGCTCCAGGAGTGAACAAGACCCAGGCCCCGTCTCCTGGAGGCCACATTCCTGTGGGGAGGACTGATTAGTACTGTATCAGAATAGGCGAGAGAGGACCTGTTTCAAGAGGGTGTCAGGGGAAGCCCCTATAGCCATTGTAGTTCTGAATCCTGGTGACCCGTGTATTACAGAGTAGAGAACCCATAGTAGGTAGCATCTGAGCAGAGCGGAAGGAGGTGGAGGGAGAGGAGAGGGCTCTGAGGTGGGCATGTGGCTGGCCTGTTTGAGGAGAGCAAGGAGGCCAAGTGACCAGAGGGGTGGTTGGGAGATAGCAGGAAATGAAAGCAGAAGGGCAGGTCCCAAGCACCTGTGACCTGCAGTGAGACATTCTGGTTTCTTCCAGGTGGGTGGGAAGCTGCTGAGGAGGAAGGTGTGATTGTCCTGTGGAGAGTAGACTTTAGGGGCAAGATGGGTGCCGGGAGCCCAGAGAGATGATTACAGTCACCAGGCAAGGGATGGTGGCTACCTGGGCCCAAGTGGTAGCAGTGGGTGGGTACATGTGGAAGCCTGGGTGATGGGCAGGTAGAAAGTGGGTATTGAGACAGAAGCCCACCTAGTGGTGTCTGAGAAAGACCTGTGGGGTCAGGCATTGCCCTGTGGTGGGTGAGTTTGGATGGCCCTAACTCTGTCCCAACCCCTTCCTCAGGGAGTGCCTCCAGGGCACCATCCGCAACAGCCAGGAGGCGGAGGTCTCCTGCCCCTTCATTGACAACACCTACTCGTGCTCGGGCAAGCTGCTGGAGAGGGAAATCCGGGCGGTAAGGCCCAGGGATTGGTCAAGCTGGCAGATGGGGACCAACAGGGGAGCTGATCTTAGGCAACAGACATTTATCAAGAACCTTCTCTGTGCCGGGTGTTGTGGGCCCAAACAGTGAACAGGGTGGGAACTGGGGAATAGAGAGACTAAAGAAACCCCCTCTGATGAAGGAACTCAGGTGTCAGATGGCTGGGGTGTGTGACCTCAAGTCAGACAGCCTCTCTGGGCCTCAGTTTTCTCACCTCGCTTAGGGTTAAAGTTTGAGTCCCTTTCTATTTCAAGGGTTGCAAAGATTAGAGGAGAGAAATTGCATAAAGAACTTAGAATTGTGCTGGATACCATGTAAGCGCATGTGTCAGTTAGCTTTGGCTGTGTCACAAATCACTACAAACTGAGTGGCTATAAAAACAGCCATGTATTCAGCTCATGAGTCTATAGTTGGTTTGGGCTTAGCTGGATGGTTCCTCTGGTCTGAACTCAGCGGGTGGATCTGCTGGGAGAGGCTGGCTTGTGAGGGCCTAAGCCGCAGACGAGTGGGCCTCTCCACTTTGGTGTCCTGCACCAGCATCTTAGCTGGCCAGGGCCTGCTCCAAGAGCAGCAGGAGCATAAGCCCCAGTGCAGAAGCACATCCACGTCTCTGTTTATTTCATGCTTGCTGCAGTCCATCTTGTTGTTGGCCAAAGCAAATCACATCCTCCAAATCAGATTCTGTGTGGGAGAGGACAACCCAAGGCTGTGGGGTGGGCAGGCGCGACTACAGCGTCTTCCACAGTGCTGTGTGTGCTTGTGTGTGCATGAGTGTTGGCTGCTGTTGGCATTATTGATGGGAATGTGACTGACTTCTCACTCTGACTGTGTGTAATCTTGGACAAGTCCTTTCTTTTTCCTCTAGGCCTCCAAGGTGGACTGTTGGTCTTGATTTGTGATTTAAGTTGTATTTTGTTGTTGTTGAGAATACATACACCAAAACAAACATGAGTTTAACCATTCCTGTGTGTATAATTCAGTGGCATTGATTGCATTCCTCAAGTTATGAAATTCTCACCCTCCTTTTGATTCATAATTTTTTAAGCCATTGGGAATTGGCCTTTTCCAAATTGGGTGTCTTGGAGGCAAGGTTGAATGTGGCTGGGGTTCAAATAGGAGAGCCCTCAGTGTTGATCCCATCACTTCTGCCTCTCTTGTGACCTTGTTTCTCCTCAGGGGAGAAGGAGATGATAAAGGGGTAGCATCTGGGGGACTCACACCCTTTTCTCCAAGAGCAGTCCCATTTGATGTGTCATCTGTGTAATATCTGAGGAAGGCAGCCAGCCCAGGGAGTTGGAGGCCTTGCTCTAGCTTGAATGGCCCCGAGAGATAGAGCCACTCACTGTATCCTGGCACCCTGAGTTTCCTGTGGAGTGCACCCTGCCAAGGGACATTGTGAGGGGGCCAGAGTCCATGCCAGGGGACAGCAGGTCTCATGTATTCCTGAAAAGGGGGCATGGATCCAAGCCTTAGAGAATGGTCATGTGTGGCAGAAAGAGAGACTGGGGTGGTTTTTACAAAGAACATGCCTAACTCACATAGAACCAGAGCAGGGGAAAACAACACCAAAACACCTGTATTCCACCATCCCAGGAAGTCCCCCAACTGTTTTCTGTTTCCTTCGTGTCTCTGGGAAGATAAGATTTTTTTTTCCTTCTAAGTCAGCTTTTTAAGGCTTCCTTTGGACACACTAAGATGAACCCATTGTAAAATCAGATATGTTCTGATGAATGTAATTCTTATAACCGACCCCTAGTCAAGATACAGAATTTAGGTTAAGATTTCAACCTCATTGTTATAACCGGTATAGGGTATAACAGCTTTTGTTGCTTTGCTACAAGTTTTTTTTAAGGATTATTACCAATGTCTATGGATATGTTTCTGTTGTTAAATACCATTGAGACCCTGGATAGTGTTTCCGAGGAGTGGCTGGTAGGTTTGAACTGCCAACCTTCTAAATTAGCAATCAAGCACCACACCAGGACGCCTGTGGCACATGAGGAAGCTTCAAAAACAGAATGGAACTCTTCCACGAACGTTTTGAAACCCCCTCATATATCCTGTTAATATTCCATCTTTTACTAATTCCAGTTTCTGAGAATCTTCCACGGAACATTTTGTGCTGCTCCTCTTCTATCTCTCTCTCTTTTTTTTTTTTTCCTTCAGCTAAGACAGAAGAAATGATTGATTGTACACATTACATTCAGCCACAACAGAACATAACTAGTCCAGAATGTCATAGGTCCAGGACAAAGGATCAAAACGAACTCAGGTGTTCCTAGTGTTTATTGAATGGCGATGGAAGGTCTAGATCCACTGAGACACGTAGTTAACTTGCACCAGCATTGCGCCCTCTGGTATTCTGTATTCCTGCTGCTGTGACTTCCGTGGGTACACACGCTGGCCTTTACTTGGACCTCGACCTCATCTTTCTTTTGTGCTTCAGCCTGTGCATTGGCTTCTAACAAGATGGCGCTAAGGCTGAGAGAGCGCCTCTTCCTTCTCATATGCTATTTTCTTTAGATTTACTTGCAGAAGTGAAATGGGTCCTAACATTGCTTGTTATTACTTTTGTCCATTATTATTAGATTATTAATTTTTTTTTTCTTTTTAAATTCCCCATTCTCCCTTCTCCTGCCCCCTGTTGTTGTGAAGTTCCATTGAGTTGGCTCGGACTCATAGTGACCCTGTATAGGGTTTCCAAGGAACAACTGGTAGGTTTGAACTGCTGACCTTACAGCTCAAATTGACCCTGTGGGCCAACATATTATGCCTCAGAGCCACAGAAGCCATTAATCATCTTTTGTCTTAATGGATTTACCTTTACCTATTCTAGATATAAGGAGCTCTGGTAGCGTAGTGGTTATGAATCGGACTGCTAACCTCAAGGTCGGCAGTTTAAAACTATCAGCTGTTCCGCGGGAGAAAGATGAGGCTTTCTGCTCCAATAAAGATTTGCAGCCTCGGAAACCCTATGCAGGGTCACTATGAGTCGGAATCGACTCTACAGTACTTAACAACAGCAATTCTAGTTATTTCATATAATAGTTATCCTTTTTCTGTCTGACTTATTAATTCAGCAGAGTGGTTTCAAGGTTTATCTCTAGATTGCATGTGTCAGAAAGCATTTCTGTTTACAGCTAAAGAATATGCCACTGTATATGTATAATGTATCTTCATCCACTAGGGACCGTGGCGGCACAGAGTCAGCAGTTTGAGCCCACTCACTGCTCCGTAAAGATTTATAGCCTCGGAAACCCTATACAGGATCGCTGTGGGTCGGGCCCGACTAACAACAACGTTCATCTGTTGATGGATGCTTGAGTTGTTTTCGCCTTTGACTATTGTGAAATAATGCTGAAATGAACATTGCTATACAATTGGAATCATTGCTTTCCATATTTTTGGATATATTCCTAGGAGTGGAGTTGCTAGGTCATATATTTCTGTTTAATTTCCTTGAGAAACTGCCCAACTGTTTCCCACAGAGGCTGCCCTATTTTACCTTCCCACTAGCAATCCAAGAGCTTTCCAGTTTTCCCACATCCTTGTCAGCTCTTAATATTTTCTGTTTTTGTTTTGTTCTGTCCTGTCCTAGTGAGAGTGAGGAGACCTGGTGTGGTACTGCAGGATAAGCACTAGACTATAAGGTTGGCAGTTCAAACCCACCAGCCACTCACTGGAAACAGGGTTACTGTGAGTTGGGACACACTTGATAGCACTTTAACAACAATGAGAATGAAATGGTATCTCCTGGTAGTTTGGATTTGGATTTCTCTAGTGACTAATGGAGTCCTGGTATGGCGCTGTGGGTTAATGCGCTGGACTGCAGAGTCAGTTTGAACCACAAGGTCAGCAGCTCAAGCTCACCAGCGGCTCCTCAGAAACCCCATACAGAGTCGCTATGGGTCGGAACTGACTTGATGGCTCTTAACAAACAATGACTAAGGCTGTTGAGTGTCTCATGTTTTAACAGAATTTTTAAACACAGTGAGGGTTAAATGAAGAGCCTGGGCTGAGTTGGGGTTTATGGTTTGGGGGCTTCCTGGAGGATGTTTAGTGGCAAGGAAGACCATATTCAGGCATTCTGAGCCCAGAGTGACAACATGATCTGTTGACAGCTACTGACCCCAGAGGATTACCAGCGATTTCTGGATTTAGGTGTCTCCATCGCTGAATACCGTAGTCCCTTCAGCTACCACTGCAAGACCCCCGACTGCAAAGGATGGTGCTTCTTTGAAGATGACGTCAATGAGTTCAAGTGCCCCGTGTGTTTCCATGTCAACTGCCTGCTCTGCAAGGTAAGAGCAGGGAGCCACATTGCAGGGGCCCTGGGACCCATGATGCAGGGAGCTACGCTGCAGGGAGCCACGTTGAAGGGGCCCTGGGAGCCACGCTGCAGGGGCCCTGGGACCCACGATGCTGATGGTGATTTCACATTGTGTCAGTGAGAGAGTCGGCCCAGACCCTGGACTCATTCCTGATCGCAGACTGAGTCTTACCATGGACCTGGTCCCCAAACTGAGTTTCAGCATTACCCCCGGCCCCACGGCATCCCTGGTACTGATTTCCTATTGTCTGCAATCACAGACCTAGTCTTAACCCCTGTCCTGAACTGACTCTGTCCCTAACACAAACTGAACCTGCGTGAGCCTCAGCTTGGTTCCCATTCTCTGATGTGGCAAAAATAGTCAGTCTTACACCTCAGGCCTGGGCAGGAGTGGGCTTGCCGTCAGGGGGAGAGGTGGGTGGGGGCTTTGTGTTCCCATCAGTGTTTGAACACACCCGTGTCATATGTGATGACCCTGGCTTCATTTCCCTGGGCCTCAGGGTGGCCTTTGGTAAAATGGGTGCCTGGTTTACCATGCCAGGACTCCATCTGGAGGCATTCAGCTTTTCACCCCCAACCCTCACCCATCCCACCTCACCTCCCAATCCCTGCAGGCCATCCACGAGCAGATGAACTGCAAGGAGTACCAGGATGACCTGGCCCTACGGGCTCAGAATGATGTGGCTGCCCGGCGGACCACTGAGATGCTGAAGGTGAGAAGACTGGACCAGGGATTTGTGTTCTGGGGCTGTGTCGGGACAGGGGGCTGTGATTCACACCTCTTCTGAAGCTCTGGCCCTCCTTCCAGACAATCACTCTTTCAGTGCAAATGGGATGTGGGACAGGGGTCAAGAGGTGAACAGTCTAAGTGGAGGGAAGGATAAGAATGTGCTGGCTGCTGGGCTCAGCAGAAAGTGAGATTTCAACATTTCCCTGCATGCTCTGCCCCCTCCGGCCCAGGTGATGCTGCAGCAGGGTGAGGCCATGCGCTGCCCGCACTGCCAGATCGTGGTGCAGAAGAAGGACGGCTGTGACTGGATCCGCTGCACCCTCTGCCACACCGAGATCTGCTGGGTCACCAAGGGCCCTCGCTGGGGCCCAGCGGTCAGTCCCCGGAGCACATGGAGTGGGCGGGCCAGGGCGTCTTAGTGGGCCTTGCCCTGGAGTTATGGTTAGTTCATTCTGACTCATGGCAACCCCATGCATGCAGAGACCTTTCAGAAGCAGATTGCCAGACTTGTCTTCTGAGGCTCCCCTGGGTGAAGTCCAGCGGCCAGCCTTCCTGCTAGTAGTTCATCATGTAACCACTTTTGACTCAGCGCTCTAGACTTGTGTGCTGCTGAGTTCATGCAGTCTCATAGCAACTCTGTAGGGCACAGGAGAACGGCCTCCTAGGATTTCCAGGGCTGTGGTCTCTACAGAGGCAGATGGTTACATCTCTCACCAACAACTGTTCTTTCAGTTAGCAGTTCTTTCACTTAACCACTGTGCCACCAGGACTCCTTTCCCCAAGAGCAGGGCCACATCCACCCTGCCCCTAGGTCACTGGTTTGGGTGTAGCCAGCAAGCTAAGAATGATGTATCATCTTTTTGAAGAAGAGTAATGCTTTATGACATATGAAAATTACATGAAATTGACATTTCATTGTCCATAAATACAGTTTTATTGGCGACAGCTACACTCACGGAGTCCTGGTGTGGCGCAGTGGGTTAATGCACTGGACTGCAAGGTCAGTTTAAACCACAAGGTCAGCTGTTCAAACTCACCATTGCTCCTTGGAAATCCTATACAGGGTTGCTGTGAGTCGGAACTGACTCGATGGCACTTTAACAACAGCACTCACTCACTCACAGCATGGGGTCTGCTGCTTTAGTGTCCCACAGGTACACACAGGTGTCCAGCACTGACCTTTTATAGAAAGGTTGCTGGCTCCTGTCCTGGAGGGCACCTGCTGCTGGGGGACTAGGTTGTCACTCACCCAAGTCTGAATTTCTACAGTGGCCATGTGGAGAGGACAGCAGGCCTAACTCAGGGTTGGCATCAGAGTCACGTGTCACAGAAGTGTTCAGCAGCAGGGTAGGGTGCCCATCAGTCACATGGTGAGCTCCCCATAAATGGCAGCAGCGTTGTTAGGGGTGCCCCTGGAACTGGGGGCTCCTTGTTTTATACAGGTAGATGTCTCCCTCTGTCATGCTTCCCATGCATGACAAATATAAAGACCTGCAGATCCACGGGCACAGGCTGAGACCAGGAAATTGGGGATGGGGATGGTGGGAGCCCAGAGGACACCCTGGTGACTCTCTTCACTAGGGAGTGAGACTGAGCAGAAACCCTCAAGGAGCAAAGGTCCCAAGTGAGAGAGCAGTCTGCTCTGGGGATATGGTGGGCAGCATAGGGCACACTCCATCTGTACCACCTGACATAGTTTCTCTTCTTCTGTCTTCTAGGGCCCGGGAGATATCAGCGGGGGCTGCCGCTGCCGGGTGAATGGCGTTCTTTGTCACCCCAGCTGTCAGAACTGCCACTGAACTGGGGGAGGTCCTGTCCCTGTGGGGCTCTGGGCTCAATGGAGACGGGAGCCCTGCAGAGAGGCCGAGGCCCCTGAGCTACCTGGCTGCCTTGTTTGATGTGAGAAGTGTCCAGGCTGCCCCAGTGCCTTTGCCCTTCCCCTGGGCTTGCAGGCAGACCTCACCTCGCCTCTCAGAGGCCTTGCCAGGTGGTGCCTCTGTGGGCCTCCTGTGTGGCTCCAAACTCCTCCTGCCCTCATCTGCTGCCCACCAAGCATTCTCTGCCTCCTTGCCTCCCCTTTTGGCTTTCTGGGGGTTATCTTCCTCTTCCTTCGCTGTCAGACGCCCACAGTCTCTTGGAACTGCTGCTAATCCTGTAGAGCTGAGAGGGTTAAAGGCCCACCCACCAGGTCTGGGTCTGCGTCACCCCCTCTGCCTCCTAATAAGCCCATTAAAATGGTTTTACAGGAAGTCGTGAGTGTGATGTACTGGATGGGAGAGAGATGGTCATGGGCAGGATCCCAAGCTCCCTGAGAATTTCCACAGGAAGCTGGTGTATTGACCGTGCACCTAAGAGCCCGCATGGTATAAAGTTAACACATATGGCTGCTACCTTGGAATTAGATTGCCAGGCCTTTCTTATGAGGCATCTCTGCATGGACTTGTACTTCCAAGAAATCAGCCATTGAAAACCTTACAGAGTGTAGTTCTGCACCATGGAGTCGCCATGAGTCAGGGTTGACTTCACAACTGGCTTCGATTTTCCATGGTAGAAAGGTGGTGTAACTTGAGTCCAGGATCTTAGCACAGACTTGGTACCCCTGCACCCAACTTTGGAGAGGGAAGACTCTTGGGTCAGCATTAGCCTGGACAGGTGGGAAGTGTGCCAAGGACCTCCAACAGAGCTGGACAATGAATAAGGAAGAACAGAGAAGAATTGATGTATTTGAATTATGGTGTTGGTGAAGATAATTGAATATGACGTGGCTTGCCAGAAGAATGAATAAATCTTTTTTGGAAGAATCTTTATCCTGGGGGTTGCTCTTTTTTAATAAATTTTTATTGTGAATTGAGTGATAGTTTACATAGGAGAGCATCACCTTTACATTTATCCTACCGGATTTCGTTTCATTGCAATGATTTCAATCCCCTCCATGCGTCATCATTCAAAAGCATTTGCTTCCAATCCCTCTTTGTTGTTTTTTTTTTTTTTTTGATGCACACCAAAGCACTCAGGAATATATAACTATTCAAACAACCAAAGGGTACATCCTGTATGTCAGCCCCTCAGCCACCAGCACACAGTCCCTCTTCCTCCTTGAGTCTAGAATCCCCAGCCACTCCATCTCTATGTCATCATCTCTGCCTCCATCTCTGGCGTTGCTGCTTTTCTGGATGGGGTCCCACACTCCACTCTTCTCCCTTGATGGTCCCAGGGTTCTCTGCTCCTGGACTGCAAGATCACTCCCTTCCTTTTGTTATAAAACATTTACCTTTACATTTTTAACATTCGCAATCGGTTCTAATAGCAGTTATTCACTATTGAACCACAAGAGTCCCATCCCCATCTCCTTTCATCAGTCCCATCTAGACAGGATGGAAACCCCTCAGTGGAGATTCTGCCTTCCCCCGCACTCTCTGAAACTAAGCTCCCTTTTGAAAACTTGTAAGCCAGTCACTTTGTGCCTTTGTTGCGCTCCCTCCAACTCCCATTTTGGGTAGCCAATGTCTAAGTTGCCCATCCCTGTCAACCCTGTGTACATAGGGGGTGGGAATGATCCTTGCTGTAAAGATTTGTTCCCTCTTTTAAGCTACTACATCCGTAAGTATAGGTCAAGTTCATCAAATTGTAGCAATTGCACTCTTCTGCCTCTTCTTTTTTCCTTTAGTGGAGTTCTGATCATCCAGTCATTGAAGCCAGGTCAAATGGGTACTATCTGTAAGTATGGGTGTTCTTGTGCATCTCCCTCACTTCATAACAGCTGGACGCTTCACTCTCTGCTCTAGTCCGCTGTGTCTATGTCTATGTCCCTGTCCGTGGGCTCAGGAGTACCCAGATCTTGCTATACTGCTGGCCACGCAGGTCTCAACTCAGGTTGACAGGAGTCTATGGAATGTGGTAGGACTTAGCCCACAACTTCATTGCTGTTTTTCCCCTAGCTCCTGGTATCGGTAGACCAATGTGGTCACCAGCAAGATTATATGCCTGTTCATGCATTCCCCTGAGTTTCAGTCTTGGAAGGGGTTTGCCCTGAGGGGACTTGATGGCTTGCCTTGATGGCTCTCCAGTGAACAGCTTGCTTGTTCTTGTAGTAGTCAATCAGACTGCCGTTATTGTTTTTGATTTTTCCTGTTGGTTTTTCTTTCAGGAAGTATCGTCTGTTCTTCTAGCCACTCCAGGCTGGTCTGCTTGTCTTTTCAAGTGGAAATTTCCCACCTCAGAAGATTCTGGATGGGGCTCAGGATTCCACCTATGGTCTTATGCAGAGGCTCTGCAGGAAGCCTCCTTCACTGTTGAGGGTGAAAGAAGCCCGGGTGCCATAGTTGGCTGCAAGGTCAGCAGTTCGACTCCAGCTGTTCCTTGGGAGAATGCTGAAACTGTCTGCTCCTGTAAAGATTTACAGCCTCGGAAACCTTAGGAAGCAGCTCTGCTCTGTCCTCTAGGGTTGCTATGAGTTGGCAGTGGGTTTAGTTTTGGCTTATTGAGAATGAGATTAGTCAACCTAGTTTTAAGAAATCAGCAAGATGCTGGTCAGATTAATACATCAGGGTTCTGAGATGCCAGTTCTGTAAAATTTTACTCCATTCTGAGCGCCTTTCTGTTGAAATCTCATTCTCAGGTCAATGAGTCATCTGTACCTGAGGGCATCTTACTCTGGCTCAGAGCTGAGACTCCAGGCTCCAGAATTTGGGGTATGTGGTTTGGACAGGGAAGGGCCTATTCTCACCCCTGAAAAGAAACTGATATCTGTCCTTGGATGCCAACACACTGGAGAGCTGGTCCTCGGTGCTGTGAGCAGAGACAGGCATACAGAATGGTGACATGTACAATACCTTACAGCTCTGCCAGTGTTGGCTCACAGAGCAGTCAGCTGTAAAGGGCCCCTGGGCAGCCTTCCAGCCCCAGGAATGCGAACACAGCGCAGCAAAGGGAGAAGTTGGGAAAAAAGGGTACGAGCTGGGTGTGGAGGAGGGTCTGGGACCCTAGTTAGGGGGACAGTGCCTCTTGGCATCTCTCGGGAACTAGGGCACTAAGAGCTGAGCAGAGACCACTCTCTTGGTATTGAGGGTGGAAACTGGGGAGCCACAGGCTGTAACAAAAAGATTGGCTATTTCAGCATTTTAAACACTAATTCAGTGACATTACATTGGTTATGTTCAACCATCACCACTACCCACGTTCACATTTTTCCATCTCTCTTAACAGAAGTTGTGTCCCCTAAGCCATGTTGCCAGTAGTTTCACACTGAGGGAAATTACATGAGACTCTGGATGTCCGTCCAGTTTCTCTCGTAAGAAGTGGAAGCTTAGTAATCCTGGGTCCTCATTCCCATGTGGCAGGAATGCCCAGATCATGTGGAGGTTGTCCCTTTTCATGAGGGCATGCACCCTCCAGTCTGCCTCACGTAGAGGCCTCCTCAGAGAGCAGCTGTACTTGCCGGAGACAGGAGCAGGGGAAGGCCAGTGGGAACTCGTTGCTCAGATGGAGTGCAGCTGTAGCTGGTGGGGAAGGACAAGGACAGGACCTCAACCTGTGCCAGGGTGACATGTGGCTTGCAGAGTCTTGGGTTGGCAGAAAAGCCACTCACTGAGGAAGCAGGAAGTTGGAGGCAAGCCCACAGCTTTGCCTGCTCGCAAAGGCTGCTGGACAAATTCCAACCATATGCCTGTCTGGAGTAAACACTACCTGCAAGGAGGTGACCCTCAGGAGGATGGGGGAAGGCAGCGGAGGCCACCAGCAGAAACTAGAGGGAAGCATAGGGCAGGGGCCAGAAGACAAAGGCAGGCTAAGCCTCAGGCCCCAACATCTTAAGTGGAAGCTGGCAAAATCCTGTGGACTTTCTTCCTTTCAATTACCACTTAACCTGATGAATACTGGGCTGGTCAACCATATTTGCTGATCTATAAATTTTCCGATTCCAATTTGTAAGGCACTTCACAAAAATGTCCTTAAACCCTCCAAGTGTGATGGGAACTATCTATCCCTTTCATTGTTCTGGAAAATGAATCTCAGAGACGCAGACTTGTACAAGCTCACACAGGAACAGACAGTAGTTGATCCATAGCCCTAGACCCCCATGCCCCCTTGGAGCCCTGGTAGAGCAGTGGGTTGTGTGTTGCGCTACTGACTGCAAGGACAGCAGTTCGAATCCACCAGCTGCTCCGTGGGAGAACAGTGAGACTTTGCTCCCGTAAAGATTTACAACCCCGGAAATCCACTAGGCAGGCGGCAGGAGCGGCAGCTCATTCCCTAAATTTCCAACAGGAATTAGAACTCCTTCACCTGGTGCTTAAAACTCTCCTTGGCTTACACCCTGAATGCCCATCCACAGACCCTAAACTCCAACCCTCCTAGACACTGTGGTCCCTAAAACACCCACATGGTTGATTTAGCTCTTTCCCCTTCAGCCTTGCATACCTTCAAGTGTCCAGTTACCAAAGTTCTGCGCCATTCTTTATATTCAAACATCAGCACCTACGAAACTGCCTGAGTCTCCCCTCAAAAGAAATTGCTACTTCAGTGTAACTCTGGTGTGAGATACCAGGGACAGGCCAACAAACATCCCAGACTACAGGTATTCCTGCCTCCCCCATGGATCCACCCAGCCACCCCCAGGGTTAGGGCAAGAGGCTCAGCACTGCTCTGGGGTCCCAGTACCCACAGCTGGGTGTGTTAGAGGATATTGCTACAGTAAGGGTGGGGAACGTTGGATCCACAGGCTGTACTGTTGTTGTTATGTGCCATGGAGTTGCTTCCGACTCATAGTGACCCTGTACAGGGTTTCCGAGGCTATAAATCT